TCCTGCATACCAGGCGAGTTAGTTAACATCTCGCCACCTCGGTGCCACACCACCTGCTTGAGTCCCACCAGGGGCATCGGTGTGGACAGATTGAAGTGAATATCTTGGGCGGTGTCAACGCGAGTTTATATATTTGTTTATTTTGCATTACAGTCTTCGTTAGGTTACTCATTAGATATCTGTATTCTTTGACAGTGATAGACTTGACTCTCAACCAAAGGAGGGGGTGGGACCGGATCTCTGCGTGGAAACACGCCCCGAATCAGAATATGTCTTCATTTTCGTTCCTTTATAAAGTGGAGTCTGGCAGGATGGCAAGCCTCGTGGCGACCGTCCTTGCCGGGAATCATGATGCCCGCTGAGTTTCAGGTGTCAACTGAGTGCTTGGGAAACCTCGCAGCCACAGCAGAGGAGCATGTGCTTGGCCCCTTGCTGTGAAGAGGCAATGCAGGCTTTTAAGAGAGAATGTGTCTCTTCTGGACAAATAAAAACAACTGAACGCAATCGTTCATAACACTGATCCTACAGAGGAAAACATACATATGTTAAAACCTTAATTTTCATCATGGTTTAAAAGGTCACAAAGATATCATAGGTCGTGTTGATGCCAGTGTCCCGTCTTCATATAAGAGAGATCAATGGTAATTTCCTGAAATGTTGCCTATTCTATTTAGTTTCTCTTTAGAGCAGCACTTTGGTTGCGAGATGTTAACTACCTCACTTGGTATACAGGAGGTCGTGGGTTCGAGCCTGACCCTGATGCCTGCTGTATATTTGGAGTTTGAATGTTCTCCCCGTGGTCACGTGGATTTTTCTGTGGGTCTTCCGATTTTTCCCTCCACATTTAGAAATATGCGTTTAGATTATTTGGTTGGGATACATTTCCACATGATAAGCCACTTCATTGAGCTATCATTTTTGGCCAGGTCGCTTCTGAAAAAGAGCTACATAGCTCAGTGGGCCTTACCTGGTAAAATAAAAAAAATAGTTTAGTTTATTGACATGTGTAGGTTCATTCATGGCGGTGGTTATTTTGTACCGAATTTCACCTCGCATTGTTTTCCCTACGCCTCTTTACCCCCGAGGCTCCCACGCGAAACAGAGAGTGTCTCCCAAGGCCCCCCTGGTCTGGTTGAAATAAATTATATTGCCTCTCATCAAATCGCAGAGGTTTCCATTCATGACCGGTGATGTATCGTTCAGTCTCTGAAAGTACATTATATTAAGATGGTAATTTCACAAATTGCATCGCTAATTGGCAATCAAGTATGTAAATGTTTTAAGAAATTAACCACATCGTTAGTGGTCGATCCAGCCAAGCATCTCTCCGAAATCGTTAAAATTAATACGTCACTGGTAGATCAGCGGTTTGTTGGATTGTGCGGAGGGACATGTGGCTCTCCATGGTAATATGGAATTTTCACTTTTGGTTCAGAGGTGCCAATGTTCTCCAGGGCCAAGTCTTCTGGCCACATTTTGGCTCCGCGAATCTCGAGGCCCGGCCACACCACTTGCATATGCAATAACGCGAGTGGCCGTGAGCTGACTCTCATTTGCATGGGGCTCGTCACCAGGAGAAGCCTCAGGCAAGCAGATCAATCAAGTCACTCACACCCAGGTCAGACGCAATAACCACTCAGCCTCACTCGTATATATATATATTTCTTTATTTATTTCCTTGTTAGACTTTTGCTTGCAGCCAAGGGGTAACTTGACATATGCAAATGATCGCGGGAAAGGTGGCACGGTGTGTTTGAGTGCTGCCGTTGAATGGCACGCAGACACTGTACGTGTCATCGCGTGCATCGTGTGGCATTAGGAGAAGGAGGGCCATGCAGTGGTTGGTGGTGGCTTTGGGGGGAGGGGAGGGGTGGGGTGTGGTGGGGGAGGTGGTGGAAGAGAAAAGGTTTGCTGCAATCTTTGTGAACGTCGCTTCGCCCCCCCCCCCACCAGCCCCCCCCACCAGCTCCCCCCACTCATCTCTGCACCACCCCCACTGCTCCATCCCCCATCAAAGCAGCCTACACAGGTTGTAAGTGGCATATTGAAAGGTTTCATGAAATATTATATGCAAATGAATATCCTTGAGCTATTGAAGCAAGGTCAGCGTCTGGTTTCTCTCCCAGGTCAGACGCTAAGCCGCGCATGGTATATTGCTTATGACGCTAAGCCTGGCCCGCAGTCCAGATTACAAGCTCTTATCAACGGTTAAGCACTGTAATCCCCAGACAGGTCATTTTGGCAAGCTGAGCAGATCAAAGATGGACACCCCCCCCCCCCAAGTCTGCGTCGTTACCATGCGAGGCCAGATACACGGCAGCAGCGGCGGCGTCGCGCTGGGAAGATGCGGTGTGGTGGGTGGAGCGTGCGCTGGGAAGATGCGGTGTGGTGGGTGGAGCGTGCGCTGGGAAGATGCGGTGTGGTGGGTGGAGCGTGCGCTGGGAAGATGCGGTGTGGTGGGTGGAGCGTGCGGTGGGAAGATGCGGTGTGGCCCGGGGAGCGTCGCGCTGGGAAGATGCGGTGTGGCGGGTGGAGCGTGCGGTGGGAAGATGCGGTGTGGCGGGTGGAGCGTGCGGTGGGAAGATGCGGTGTGGCGGGTGGAGCGTGCGGTGGGAAGATGCGGTGTGGTGGGTGGAGCGTGCGGTAGGAAGATGCGGTGTGGCGGGTGGAGCGTGCGGTGGGAAGATGCAGTGTGGTGGGTGGAGCGTGCGCTGGGAAGGGAAGGAGCCCGTTTTGACGAAGGTGTTCGTGAGATAAGGAGACAACGCCGTGCATCTGCCATCCCCCCCCCCGCCGCTTCTTGCTCTCTCGCGCGCAGAATTCCTCGCGCCCAGCGCTGCTTTGTCGAGCACGAAGTTTGACGATTTGTTCGGGTTGTTCCCAGATTTAAAAAAATAAATATCACATCCTTCAGATAGCCAAGGGCTTCGATATTGCGGTCGACTAATTAATGCCGGTAACAGACGGATGGATCGGTTGTAAAAACGTAATGGATTTATAATTTGCAGAGCGTAACGGAGTTGCTGAATCTGAATCACACAGTTGCTAAATCTATCGAAAAAACCTCGCAAAACTGTCGTTTGGTTCCAAATATTGTCGCGTTCCAGCAGCATATAGAACGTTTGTCAATACGCACATTTAATGGTAAATACTGCAGCTATTCCAGTGATACCTCAGCTGGCCAGAGAGAATTCCAATTAATACATCTTGAAAGGCGTCAACCAGAGAAGAACGATGATGGGCCTCATCAGAAGGAGAGAGAGGAACTGGGATGGACGCGTCCTTTAGAGGGGACGCTTTAATGATGATAAACGCTCTTCCTTCCGATATTAGGGAGTCACTGGAGCCAATTTTAGATTGAAAACTAATTTATTCAGAAGGGATTTTTGCGTTTAGTTTGTTGTCCTTTCCCCCACACCCCCGATTAGCGCAGTTGGCTATGTATGGTGCGAAAGAAGTTGGACGTTTATGCATCCATACAATGTAGAAGGGAAGGGAAGAGAATGAGAGGAAGGCCAGGGATTGTGATGCTGGGGGAGCTGAGGAAGAGGGGGCGATTTCGGGAATGAAGACGAGGGCAGAGGACAGGAGGGGAGGTGGAGGATGGAGACTGTGGCAGCCAAGGGCCTGCCGTGAAGGCCCGAGCACCCGAGAAGAAACTTCGGAGTCACGTGGAATGATTTTGCCTTTTCGTTCCTGTAGCGCTCATAGCGAATGGCAAGGTAAATACGCAGCCCTGCAATGCCTTGCTTACGCCACCGCTGGCAGAAGGGCCTCGACTAAAGGGAAATGTGGAGAGGCCAGACATCGTGAAAGAGGTGGAATACTCAAACTTTACCCCACCACGCGTGACCTGTTGATTGACTAACTGCAATGAACCCACTTATAATGCCGGGTGCGCAGAGGCGGTGCGTGTGTTGGGGGTGGGGGGTCCGAGGGGAGGTGGTTAAGAAACCCGCACCGTTCCAACTGCTGTGCCACCGGGCCGTGCCATTGGGATCCCCAAGCGGTCATGCTCTTCTCATTAATTCCTATATCACAAAATTGAATCACTCCCGAGGCAATCAAGAATCTGAAGCATTTAATTATTTATTATCGCGGATTGAACAGCTGTGAGATTCACAAATGCATTTGTTGTGGAGGCTGATAAATAATACGGCCGACTGCAGGGGCTATTTTTATGTAAATGGTATTATTGTGCAACTCATGTTTGTATTTTACTCGATGTTGAAGGGTTTCTATCGCCCAACTTTTTTTTTTAAACAAGTGTGCCAGTTTACATTGTCTGCATTTATTGATCTTTCAATTTATTTTTGCATTATATCGTTACGTGTATTGTTTTTCGGTGACATACCCACACCACATTCTTCCTTTGACGGTGGTGGTGGGGAGTGTTGTCACTCTCTGTGTATCGTCAGGGGCCACACGTCAGGGGCTGTGCTAAAGGCCACCAGGGGGACCGCCAGTGGCCTGTGGGGGCCTTGCGATGAAGAACGCCGTCCTAGATGGCTCTCCAGCTGATTCTAAAATAAACCGTCTTCCCTACCTCGTTATACAAAGACAAAAAACCCCCCGTATAGCCTTAACATTCTGTTGGGGCAAGTGCTGATAGCGAGCACCCATTCAGGCCGGGACGGTACATGAGGGGGTGGATGGCCAGCACCACGCTCGTCCACCTTTATCTCCCCAGTGGCGATGTTGACACACCAAACCAGGTACTCATTTGAGGCTTAGTCGACCTTGGAGTGGCCCAGGGCAGATTGCGATATTTGGGATCGAACTCAGGTCGCCAGATTCGCAGCTCGTGGGCAGGTGTTGGGCGGTGTTCGGTAGCGTGTCACTTCGCAGCATTGTGAGGGATGGCGGTGTATTGACAAAGACCGAGTGTGATGATGACGATGATGGCTTTGACGATCGTAGTATTATGGCCGTACCGCGGCAACCGCCGGCAGGAGCGTGTGGTGGACGCGTGCCCAGCGGTGGTGGCACTTGCCTTGCAGAACGCCGTGCGCCACAACCTGAGCCTGCACAAGTGCTTCGTGCGAGTGGAGAACGTGAAGGGCGCCGTGTGGACCGTGGACGAGATGGAGTTTCAGAAGCGACGGCCGCAGAAAATGACCGGGTAAGTGGGGGGCGCAGCGTCACTGCCCATCATCCCCCCCAGTATCCCACTCACCGGGAGGGGGGTGTCACAGTGGCGAGATGTTAACTACCTCGCCCGGTATGCAGGAGGTCGTGGGTTTCGATCCCAACCCTTGACGCCTGATGTATATTTGGAGTTTGCGTCTCTCTCTATCTTTCTCTTCCCGTGGTCGCGTGGATTTTTCTCCGGGTCCTCCGGTTTTTCCCTCCACATTTAGAATCCACATCATGCGTTTAGAGTATTTGGCCGCTATACAGTCCACATGGTCAGACACTTCTTTGGGCTATCATTTGTGAAAGCCAGGTCGCTTCTGAAAACGCTTAAAAAGGCCTATACGGCTCAGTGTGGCCTTACCTGGTAAAATAAAAAATAGTTTATAATAATAGTAGTAATGGCGAAGGTGCAGCCCGGCAATTGCTTTCTCGCTCCACTTTTGGCAGAAGGACCTCAACAAGGAGGGAGCTCGAGAGGAACCTCAAGCGCCTATGTTTGGCCTACTCTTCCACGATGGCCAAATGTCTTGGGAAGATGTGGGGAGTGCCCACAGTTTACCCCACGCTACCTGCCGAGAGGCCAAGTGTGGAGTGCACTGCTGGGTGGGCAGGGTCAGTGGCAACGTGGAAGCCTCGACAAATAGGAATAGAGGAATGCTTCGAGCCTGGACATGGTCCTGCAATAAATCGCGGCAGAGAGGTGATGGTACGGAGGGCTGGCGGAACGCGGCTCTCAACAATTGGAGCAGTGGAGAAGAAGGAGCGATCAATCGCTAGAGCAGAGGAGACTAGAGTGAGATGAGAGGGGAGAGGTAGGAGAGTGAGTGGAGTGAGATGGGAGGGGAGAGGCAGGAGAGTGGGTGGATGGGAGTAGAGTGAGATGAGAGGGAAGAGGCAGGCGAGTGCGTGGAAGGGAGTAGAGTGAGATGAGAGGGGAGAGGTATGTAGGGGTGTGTCTATGGAGGATCTTGGAAGACGGTGAGAGTTGCGATGTAGAAGTTGTCTGACCGAGCGAGTCATTCATCTATTTTGTGTAGCTTTTGCACGAATGGTGACAGCGACTTTTGTCACTGCATCGCGCGCTTTCAGATGCAATTCTGCGGCCGTCTGGAACGCTCTTCCGATATTAGGAAACCACTGGAGCTATGCGCGTTCAAATCTATATTTAAAACGAATTTCTTTCGAGTTGCTTTTTGTGTTTAGTTTGCTGTTGTTCCCACGCACCTCCGATTACCGCTGTTGGCTACGTATGGAACAAAAGAAGATCAACGTACATCAATACAAAAGACCAATTTAATGAAAGAATCCTGATAAATGAGAGACACACACACAAAACGGTGCTGTAACGAAGGGCTAAGAGCGTGCATGTATTTATGTGTATACAATGTGATTGGGATCGGTCGTTGTTGCAGTTTGCGCATTGCTCCTACGAACCTGGCGACCAAGGTTCGATCCCCGATCACAGCCAACACCAGTGATGATTATTTGAACTGGTCCTGGGCCTCCCCTAGGTCGACTCAACCTCGAACGAGTAACTGCTGCGATGTGTGAACATCGCCACTAGGGAGACAAAGGCGTGGTGTTTTGGCCACCCACCCGTCCCTCACGTGCCGTGCCGGCCTTCATAGGTGCTGCTCGCTAACAAAACTTGCCCCAACAGTCTGTTAAGACTACATGGGGGGATCGTTGTCTTTGTACACAACGCCAATTCCTGCGGGACACCTGATGATGACTGTTTGTGTTGCAGTCGAAACGTCGTGAGAATTTTATTGTTTTACATATATATTTTATTGTTTCCCTTCAACGCGACTTTACCGAAAGAACCAAGAATATGAATCACTGCAGTCACGAAAGCTTTAAATCAAAATGTAATTGCCTAAACACTGAAGAAAGAATACAGAAAATTGAACGTTTTCCCCGAATACGTCTTTGTACTTAAATTTGCTCATGGAATCTATATACAATCTATGACACCGGCTAAACGTATACAACTTGTGCGATGCACGCGTTACTGATATTCAATCGTATTCCATTTAAAACCACCCCGATGAAATTCGTCTTATTTCCACGTGTGCGCATCCACATTGCATTTATGTTTGTGTGGGTGTGGGAGCGGCGGTGTGGCGCTACAACACCCACTGCACCGATCTCCACTCGCCCCGGTACAATTCCTGTCCGTAATCAACAACACGTGCGTCGCTTGGCATCTGAACCTGGCCAGTACCTCCCTTCGAGTCGACTCGGCTTAACATTGATGCTCCCTGACGCGTATTGACATCAGCACTGGGGGGAGACAAAGGTGGCTCGGGGCGCACCGTGCCAGCCACACCGGGCCACACGCCTGAGCCCGCGGCGGTCTTTGTCGCGGCTAGGACGAGCGCGCTCGTTCACGTGGGCGCTTCGCACCGTGTTTGTTCACACGCGGTGCAGTTTATTTATTCCCCGGATGATTCCTATGCTCTCGCGGAGCTCTGGGTGTTTATTAACAAGGCAATTCGTGGGTGTCCCGAGAGCGTGTTCCCACTTAATTTCGTACAGCCGCGTATTAATATTTCTGCAATCAAAATCAATTGCTCGAGCGAGTGTCGGATTACTTCCAGGGACGGGCCGCCAACGGCACGCGCCCCCTGAGCGCGCGTCGCTCGGCTCTCAATGCGCGCCTTTTACCCCCCCCTCGTTCCCCGGCACACGCACGCAGGCACACACACACGTACGTGCGTGCGTGCGTGTGTGTGTGTGCGTGCGTGCGTGTGTGTGTGTGCGTGCGTGCGTGCGTGTGTGTGTGTGTGCGTGTGTGCGTGTGCGTGCGTGTGTGTGTGCGTGTGTGTGTGCGTGCGTGTGTGCGTGCGTGCGTGTGCGTGCGTGTGTGTGCGTGCGTGCGTGCGTGTGTGCGTGTGCGTGCGTGTGCGTGTGTGTGTGCGTGTGCGTGCGTGTGTGTGTGCGTGTGTGTGTGTGTGCGTGCGTGTGTGTGCGTGTGTGTGTGTGTGTGCGTGTGTGTGTGTGCGTGTGTGTGTGTGTGTGCGTGCGTGTGCGTGTGTGTGTGCGTGTGCGTGTGTGTGTGTGCGTGTGTGTGTGTGTGTGCGTGTGCGTGCGTGTGTGTGTGCGTGTGCGTGCGTGCGTGTGTGCGCCACAAGTGCCGCCTGCGTTTTGTTAGGGAAAGAAATAAATAATTGCCGCCCCTCCCAGCCCGCAATGGCACAAACTGCATATTTACTTGTCAGATTGTAAAAATGCAATTGGATTTAATGCACCTGTCAAATTTACAACGGCGGCGTTCCAAGATGAATGTGCGCGCCGCGTGTCAGGCGGCGATAATGAAAAGCACAAACGATCGCCCGGCTCTGTTCAATCGCGCCGATGTGCATCTAAAGAGCGTGCGCGCCCCTAATAAAGCTCCCGCACTTTTACTCCCATCGCGCCCCTTCCTGTGCGTGTGCGTCGGAACGCGTCGCTCGTTCGGACGCGGCCTCGGTTGATTTACAGAGTGCGATCTCCGTCCGTGTTTGTTTGTGTGTCTGTGTGCGCGTCTCTGGTGCAGGAGCCCTTCACTCGTGAAATCTATGCAGACCGGACTGGGATATGGAGCTGCGTTAAATGCCAGTTTGCAGGTCAGTTGTTACATCCAGCAACGTCAGGTCATCTTCAGCAGCATCATCTTAAAAAAAGCTCTCCCGCGTGTTCTTTGGGTCGTACCGCGTGTTGCTCAGCATGATGTCCGACGTTTTTCGCTCCGGAAGCTTCTTCAAGAACTGAATATATTTCCTCCTGGTAGAGGTGAGTAAGAAGCTTCCCCCAACTTGTGGAGCGAAACGTCGGACATCGTGCCGAGCAACAACACGCAGTTCAACCCGAAAACCCGTCGGAGATCTCTGCAGCACAAACACAAAAGCGCAAAAGCCTACGCAGTAGTATCATCATCATTTATATTTTATTAACACCAGGTGAGAGCCCATTGAGACTAGAAATCTCTTTTTCAAGGGATACCTGGTTCAAAAGAGCACCAATGGTTAAAGGCAGGTCGAAAAACCATCACACAGAGTGTGAAGCATCGTCATCATCATCAGCATCACCGTCGATAACTTTTTTTACAGACCACTTAACAAGCAGATGAAATTTCACCATCTTGAATGAACATTGTGTCCACGAAGCATCCTGCCATTTCTTAAAACAAAAATAACACGCGGGTGTCCCTTAAAAACAGATGCGCATCTTAGTGGGTTCTCTCGTGGTTAAAGTTTGACCAGTAGTAACAACGACAACAAGTTTGATCAGTATAACGTCGACAACAAGACTAATACCTTACAACCCTTTGTCAATCCACTGCTGAATGAAGGCCTCCCAATGCTGTGTCAGTCATGGGGTTGTTGGACCATACTTCACCATGCTGGTCAGTACGGGTTGGCGTCCGGGTGGGCCAAAAGCAAACGGTTCAGATAACATTCACCACTGTGGCTGGAAATCGAACTCGGGTTGATGAATGGGGTGCAAAACACAGTGCGCTAACCGCCGTGCCACCACTCTGCCCTAGTCTTAATGCTGTCCTCAAAGTATGAAAATCACGAATGATTAAAAACTGGGAACCGTTACAATTCGTCCAGATAGAAATGATACCACGTCTTTATTAATGCGGTAAATTCTCACTGGGTACCATGGTTCTGTTTTCAGGAGGGTAATGCGAGGGATGTTTGACAAGTCCTTGTTGTGAACCAGAGTGCCTGGAGAATGCCCACATAATCGAGGGGATGACACTCGAACGCACCTGTTGTACTGTCTCAGTGCCATGTGGGCGGGTGATTAAAACACGAATTTATATTTTTTAAAAAGTGCCACCGCCGTTGGTAATTTGCGACAATGTCTCAGGGCCATAATAAAGGGTTTTTTTGTAAATGCTGTGGGTTTACTCTCCAACACACCGGTGTGCTGAAGTAGTTACTCATTGGAATGTTTTGTTTACGGAACAAAAATTGGTGTGGGTTAACGACACATTTCAATTTACGCGATTTAGCCACGAAAAAATACTTTTATTATAAATAATATTGGTCGCGAAAGCATGTTAAAATGTTCGAGGGCCACTAATAGGGTTGAACTCTGGCCATTGTTCACGTGGATGTGGAGACGTAACAAGGAATGATATCCCTCCTGGAGCTTGAGCACACGTGTTATCGATGGGAAATGAGAATATTGAGATAGGGAAGTTGCAGAGCAACCTTTAAGGAAGCTTCCTGAATGTTGGATACAGGCTAATAATTCTTAGAGATGCCCGGCATTCCTCGAGGAGATAAGGATGGACAACGTGGAAGTTGAGAGTAGAACGTGGGATGTGTGTGGTATGGAGGAAGAGCAGGATACCGCACACAGGACAAAGTAGGACAACTGATGCCAGAAAGGAGTAAACTTTAAGTCTGGAGTTTGGAGAGCAAATTGCTGCTTTTATGCAACTGCAGGATCTATCAGGAGGAAGGAAGCAATCACAGGAATTTGTGAACGTCGGCGGCGATGGTGCTGTTGAAGAGTAGCGGGAGCCAAGGAGCGATTGAGACGCTCATCTTGGCGTGCGCGGTTGATTGAGAGGTTTTTTTTTCCAAGGTACTGTAGTCGGAGTAAAAGTAACAAAAAGGCGTGCGATCCTAATGCCCAGCTGCCACAATCTGCCAGCACCGGTGCATTGCGTGAGCGCCAACGCCCGGCGGGGAGACGAACGCGGCGGCGGCGGCGGCACGCGTTCTGCGCCGGCATTAATAGGCGCCCGCCCCAAATAGCCGTCGGAAAAAGGAAGAGAGCCTTTTGTCTGCTCCGCAGCGGGAACGCTCGGTTGTGCGGCCGCGGGTGCTTAAATGCGCCACCCAACGACATCGCAAAGAGGAGGCGCGAGCTGCGTCTGAGCGGCGGAACTCGTTCACTCGTTCGGAGCGAGCGAGAGCCTTCCCCGAGCCCACGCACCGCTCATATGCAAACATGATTCCGATTGATGCCGCACACTTTAACTTTAAGCTTAAAGAGGGGCACTGTGTGCGTACTCAGTCTGGCATGACTGTTAGATCAGTTAGTAGCCTTCCCGTTGGCATTGATTTTATTTTGTGTACGTTTAGCGTGGGTGTAGTGTGCGGTGACGTAGCGGTTTGCAGACACCATGCTTCGAACCCGGCACCCCGAGTTCGATTCCCGCTCACTATCAACATCAGTGACCAATATCTGAACAGGTCCTGGGCCTCTTCTATAGGCCGATTGAGCGTTAAGCGAGTACTTGGTGTGGCGGTGCGTAAACGTCAGCACCGGGGAAACCAACGGGGCGAGGGCGTGGTGCTGGCCTCCTAACCCCTTGTCGACCGTGCCAGCCTTCGTAGGCGCTACTCGCTGACAGCACTGTCCCCAGCTGCCTGTGTCGACTATACCGGGGATTTTGTCTTCGTTTTTGTTTGTGTGGGGAGTGGTGGTGCAGTGGTTCACACATTGTGATATGATCCCATAAGCCAGGTTCGATCCCTGGCCTTGCACAACATCAGGCGGTAAAGTCACACTTACGTGAACTTTGCATTAGTGCGTGGTAAATTATCATCAGTATTAGGAAGACACAGGTCGCCAGGCATAGCGGTGGCTATAACATCCCTGCATGGGCCATGCTGGCCATGATAGGTGCTCGCTAACAGCACTACGTTTCAACATTTGTCAAGCATGTGTGAGTGAACGTATGATGCGCGTATGTTGGTGCGTGTGTATGTTTGTGTCACTTTGTACGTTGATGTGTACGGCGTTCCATTTCATTAAGAACATTATCGTCCGTAAAATGTCATACCCCTTAAACGAAAATGGGCATTATTTATGAACGCAATCACGGCTCGGTTACATTAGCGATACGCCAAAAGACAGACCAAAAAATTGTTCTAAATGTTCTAAAGCCAGCGGTTCTATTATTACCCATTCCCTTTTCATCTAAATATAGCGGAGGGATAATTATGTAGGTGATGTGGTGCCTCGTGGTCCTTGTGACACTATCGGTGCTTAATTATTAACGAGAAATCCTGTGCACTATTGAAATCACATTGCTCCTTACGGATTATCTACGTTGTATATTCCACTGCACAAATCAAACGAACGATTTATATTATTCCCAATTAATACGTTTGAAGAAACGTATTTTCGTTGTACTCTTTGTTTTTTTTCGGTAAAAATAATAAAATTAAAATAAATGAAAACAACTAAAGTTACCTACGTTACTTTACCGAAAAAACCAAAGAGTATGAATCCTTGCAGTCACGAAAACTTCAAATCTAGAATGTATCTTCGTTCTGTTTAATGGAGTAGAACGTTACGAATCTGTGTGAATTAAGTTGCGTTCATACAAACAATCGGTTAACTATTTGTATAATTAATTGCAGTCCGTTGTCAATTCCACTGCTGGATGAAGGCCTCCCCCACACCATTGTCAGTCATGGTTGTTTGACCATACTTCACCACGATGGTCAATGCAGATTTTGAGAATGGGGGGGGCAGAGCTGGTTCAGATGACATTCATCGCCGATGTTAGCTCAACAGTGGCCAGGAAATCAAATTCACCTCGCAGGATTCATTGCACAGTGCACTAACTCCTGCGCCGCCACTCTCCCTATAGATATTCCGAACCAAGAGTGGGACATTGCTAAGTCAAGGTCCAGAGGTCATCACGGGCAATGCTGCTGATGCCATCGTTTTCTTCCTTAATAACGTTTATTTATCTTGCGCTATATCATTCCAAATATTCTGAGACTCTTTGAACCCTCGGTTGTTGCAGAGTCAACACAACGTCCAAGGACTGTCGTATCTCACAATGTTTACAAACGTGTGGCAGGAGCCGTGGCTTTATTTAGAACAGGCAAGAGCCAACAAACATCACGTATCTTTTGAAAGGGAGACCTGGGGTAATATTATTTTTAAAAAAATATATTGTATAAACTAGTTTAGCTCAGCCAATTTTGTGAATTCCACATTTATATGGAGTTGATGAGTTTCTTTGTGGAAAATTTTGTTTAGCTTTTCACAAATCGGTACTTAATTTATTGACCCTGGTGGTGGGATACTGATGGGCCCCTGCCATCTAAATCATTCTATTTTTACCTTATGAGACCTCCTTTGCCAGTAGCAAGATATAGTAATAGGTTTTTACCCTTTTAACTGGCAACAAAACTGACACCTTTATACAAGGGATCATGTTTACATTAACCACAACACTTGCGGTCAAAATTGCAAACAAAAAGACAACTCTGATAATGAATGCACTGTCCTTGAAATTGATTGGACCACACCCGAGACAGCTTTTCTTAGAGCCCAGTCTCACATGGCGTTGGACCAGATGACGCCAAAAGGCGCACAACTCAAAGACAACGCACTGGTCCAACGCCATGTGAGACTAGGCTCTAAGAAAAGCTGTCTCGGGTGTGGACCAATCAATTTCAAGGACAGTGCATTCATTATCAGAGTTGTATTTTTGTTTGCATTTTGACCGCAAGTTCTGTGGTTAATGCAGACATGATTCCTTGTATAAAGGTGTCAGTTTTGTTGCCAGTTAAAAGGGTAAAAACCTATTACTACAACACTCTAGTTTTGTTACTGCTTTTCTAAACCCTGTAAAGCGCCTTGCCTTAAGGCACTCTATAAACATAAAACAAGATAAGAGTCGAACCCCAACCAGGATTTGAACTCGCAAACCGCCTGATTGCGAGGTCAATGTGTTTCAACTGATGCCTCACTCTGTAATGTGTGTACATAGTGTATGTAGCCAAACGGACTCGTGAGCACACATCCCCACGTCACCAGCTCCACGTTGACACAAAGATCACCGTCCTACTTTCTTTAATAACCGAGATTTCTTTGTCCAAACAAACAGACAGATACAAAGACGTAATGACGGAATGTGAAAAACGGCTTTGGAACACTCATAGAACATTCTTAAGAGCATCCGTTATCTCTATTTTATCTTCAATTAAAAGTCTCGTCCCCGTTACCAATGTTTTTTTTGGTTTTAATCGGTGGTTGTAGCAGCATCTCAGGCACACTGACAAATAAATTGTCAGCTGAAATAACCGCACGTGCAGTCCTCCGCATGCGAAGACCACGAATGGCGGTGTCAAAGTGGGCACCTAGGATGAAATTCACCGACATACATAGACAAAGATCCCCCGTATAGCCTTAACAGACTGTTGAGTGCTGTTAGTAGCACCTATGAAGGCCGGAACAGCACACGAGGGGGTGGATAGCCAGCACACACACACACACACGCATGCGGTAACATGAATGTGTGCAGCGCACGGAGCATTGCATGTGGGGCATTAGGCATTCTTCAGTGACCCCAACGCTTTTGGCCATTACGTGCCCCATGACAGCTCCTGTTTATGATGATGCTCCTGATTGAAG